TGGAGGGAGGCAGAGTGAAATTGTAGAGTTTTCACATGTGATTAAAGTTATCAGCTTAAAACAGTTTGTTACTAGATGTTTTATGTAAGCCTCATGGTAACCACAAATCGAAACCTATTGTGGATAAACAAAAGATAAAAAGAAATCAAGGCATATAACTAAAAATAAAAAAAAATTACCTATTCACAAAGGAAGGGGAGAAAAGAATGAAGGATCTACAAAGCAACCAGAAAACAATTAACAAAATTATGTAAGTCCTTACCTATCAATAATTACCTTGAATGCTAATGTATTAAATTCTCCAGCCAAAAGACAGATTGCTAAACAGATGAAGAAAAGAAAAACCAACAATATGCTGCCTATAGACACTTCACCACCTATACAGACTGAAAACGAAAGGATGGAAAAGACACTCTAGCAAAAGCTTAGCTATATTTATATTAGACAAAATAGAGTTTAAGTCAAAAACAGTAAAACAAGACAAAGAATGTCATATGCTGGAGGATCAATTCACCAAGAATATATAACAATTATAAACATATATGCACCTAACATCGGAGCACCTAAATATATAAAGCAAGTATTAATAGATCAGAAGAGATACTGTAATGCAGTAACAGGAGAGGACTTTAATACCTCCACTTTCAGCAGTGCACAGACCATCCACCAAAAGACTTCAACTGCGCTGCAGACCAAACGGGCTCCTTTACAGAGCCTTCCACTCACGAGCAGCAGAAACGCTATGTGGAAAGACCAGCATGCTGGGCCACAAAACCAGCTTCAACAGATTTTAGAAAACTGAAATTATATCAAGTGTCATTTCCAACCACAAGAGCACAGAAGTAGAACTTCATAACAGGAGGAGATTATATGCGCAAATACATATAATGTTCCTGAACAAATGAGATTAACAAATCAAAGAAGAAATTGAAAGGGTAATTAGAATGTGCCATAACGATGAAGAAGGGCACAGCATGTGTCAGAGCCTGTGGAATGCAGCAAAGGTCAGTGTAAAGGGAAACATGAAGAAAGAACTTAAATGATATGACATTATCCCCACAAGGAACTAGAAAAGTAAGTACACTGGGGCCCAAAACTTTGGTAGTAGGAGACAATAAAGATTAAAACAGAAATAAAAGAAATACAGACTAGAAAAACAACAGGAAAGACCAATGAAATTAAGAGTTGATTTTTTTTAAAAGATGAAATTGATAAAACTTGAACTAGATCAAGAGAGAAAACTCAGTTAGAAATGAAAGAAACAGAAATAAAGTAAACATAGAAAACTGTAATAAAGTCCTGCATCAAAGAAATGTCTAAGACCTGATGACTTCATGGCTGAATTCTACCAAACATTTAAAGAGGAATTAACACCAATCCTTCTCAACTCCAAAAAACTGAACAAGATCAGATAGTTCTATTTTATGAGGCCTGCATTACCCTGATACCAAAGCCAGATGAAGATACTATAAGAAAATGAAGTTATAGGTCCACATTCCTGACAAACATAGATCAAAATTCCTCAACAAAATACCAGCAAACTGAATTCCACAGCATATTAAAAGGATCATTCTTCATGACAAGGTAGGATTTATCCCTGAGATGCCAGGATGCTTCAACATATTAAGGCATATAAAAATAATACAGTATATTAATAGAGTAAGAGACCAAAAAAGCCCATAAGATCATCTCAATAGGGGCAAAAAAATTTTGACAAAATTCAATATTTGTTCATGGTAACAACTCTAAAGAGATTAGGTGAAGAAACAATGTACCTTAACATAATACAGGCCATATCTGACAAGTCCACAGCTGATATCACATTCTATGAAAAGTTGAAAGCTTTTCCTCTAAGAACAGGATAAAAGGAGGATGTCAGCTCTCATGACTTCTATTCAACATAGCACTGGAAATCCTAGCTACAGTGATTATGCAACAGAAATAAAAGGTATCTACATTAGAAAGGAAAGTCAAATTGTTGTTTGCAGAAATGATCTTATATATATGGAGAACCCTAAGAACTCTACCAAAAAAAACCCTGTTATAACTAATAAATGAATTCTATAAAGCTGCAGTATATAAAAATCAACATATAAAAATCAGTAGCATTTTATACACTAAAATAGACTATTTGAAAAAGAAATCAAGGAAACAACCCCATTCATAACACTTAGGAATAAATTTAACCAAGAAAGTGGAGGACCACTTTCTTGAAAAGACATCCACACTAACCAAAGTGATCTACAGATTTGATGTAATTCCTACCAAACTTCCAATGATACCTTTTCAGGAATAAAAACAATACTAAAATTTATGTGGAACCACAAAACACTCCAAATATCTAAAGACATTTCAAGTAAAAAATAAACAAATCTGGAGATATTACATTATCTGACTTCAAAATATACTACAAAGCTATAACAATGAAAACAGCACAGACCTGGCATAAAAACAGACACATAAGACAATAGAAAAAATAGTCCAGCAATGAACCTACACATGTGTGGTCAATCCAAGTTTTGACAAGGGAATCAAGAACTCAGTAAATGGTGTTGGGAAAATTGGATATCTATGTGCAAAAGAATGAAATTAGACTCTTATATCACATACAAAAAGCAACTCAAAATGGATTACAGACTTAAACATAAAACCGGACACTGTAAGAGTACAAAGTGGAAAAACTTAGAACATTAGTTTAGATAATGATTTTTTGGATATGATCCCCCAAAGCACAAGAAACAAAAATAAAAATGGACAAATAGGATTGTATCAAAATCAAAAGCTTTTGTAGATAAGGAAACAATAAAGACTCAACCTACAGAATGGGAAAAAATATTTGCAACCCATACATTTGATATGGGGTTAATATGCAGAATGTATGGATATTACAACTTTACAAAAAAGTGAAATAATTCAATTAAAAATGGGCAAGGGACCCAAACAGACATTTCTAAAAAGAAATCATACAAATGGCCAACATGTATATGAAAAAATGTTCAACATCATTAATTGTCAGGGAATTGAAAATTAAAACCACAGGAGATATCACTTCAGACCTTTTAGAATAGACATTATATAAAAAGACAAAAGATAAGTGTTGGCAAGGGTGTGGAGAAAAGGGAACACTTATTCATTGTTGGTGGCAATGTAAATTAGTACAATCATGATGGAAAACAGTATGGAGTCCTCAAAAAACTAAAAATAGAACACCATGGGATCCAGCAATCCCACTTCTGGGTATATTTTCAAAGGAAATGAAATCAGTATGTTGAACAGACATCTGGGCTCCCATGTTCACTGCAGCATTATCCATGATAGGTAAGATAAGGAATAAGCCTCAGTGCCCATCAATGGATGAATGGATAAAGAAAGTATGGTGTATGAATACACACACACACACACACACAGTGCAATACTACTCAGCCTTAATAAAGAAATCCTGTCATTTGCAATGTTATGGATGAATCTTGTGGATATAAGTGAAATAAGCCAGGCACAAAAAGACAAATACTGCATATTCTCACATATGGAATCTAAAGGTGAACTCATGGAAGCAGAGAGTAGAATGGTAATTACCAAGAACCCGGGGAGATACTGGGGAGATGAAAAAGGATACAAAATTCCGTTTAGGAGGAATAAAGTTCAAGAATTCTACTGTACAATATGGCGATTATAGTTAATGATTGTGTATTATTTTCTATATTCTTGACAATCACTACAAGCATTCTCATCACGGAAAACAAGTGTGTGAGTTAATACAGGCTGACTGGCTAATTTAGACACTCTATAATGTTTACATATTTCAAAATATCAGACTATAAACAGTAAATACGTGGAATTTTACTTGTCATTAAAACTTTTTTTTATAAAGAACAAAGCAACCTCCTCCCCAAACATTCCATTTTAATCTGTAACAGAAACACTGGCTGGGTTGGAGCCAAGCCTCAGACAGACCATGTAAGGAGCTAGGTGACATCCTCAGCTCTCTGGTTTCCACACAGCCTCAGTACAAAACACACAGGAAATGAGGCTGGCAGCATGAGAGGCCAGGAAAAGAGGCAGCACGCTGGCTTCCAGGGACAGAGAATAGACACTTTCATGTACTAGACTTATGACTTGTTATTTACCCTGTCTGATATGTAAGAGGAACTAATAATACCCACGCTGTTGCTAACCTTATATTTAAGATAAATTTAAAACCATCATTACAAGAAAATTAACTATAAGGTGCCCTGTTAGGGACTGAATACTTGTACACTCCCAGAATTCATGTTAATGCTCTAAACCCCACATCTGCATGGAGACAGGAACTCTAAGAAAATAGTTAGTTAAATGAGGTCATGAAGATGGGGTCTTATCTTATACAATTAGCGTCCTAGTAAGAAAAGACATTAGGAAGCCAATTCTCTCTCCCTCTCCTACTTCAAGTGTAAATACCCAGGGAAGCCCATCTGCAAGTCAGGAAGAGAGTGCTCACCAGAAACCAAATCAGCTAGAATCTTGGCCTTGGACTTAACATGCCCAGAACTGTGAGAATGTAAATTTGATTAAGCCACAGTCTGTGGTACTTTGTTATGGCAGCCTTAGGAGACTAAGACACACCCTGAAAATGAGCAAATTAACTTCAAGACACTAAAAAGCTATGATTGGCTCATCAAATTTATATCCTTGCTACTGCTACTAGGCTACTCTTCCTTCTTGTCTGTTGCTCCCATACAGGGCAGGTAACTGAGCTTGCATGGTTCAAATGTAGCTGTAGGAGGAGAACATGAATGTCACTCAGGCTTCAGGACAATGTGCTCTCAATATCACAAAACTATGGCCACCTCCCCAGCCAAACTCAATTCCAAGTCAGCAATTTTTCCATGAAAATATATTTAATCTTATTCAAGTTAGAAATGGTCTGTGTTTCTCTCCCCAACCACTTCCAAAGAAAGGTTTCTTCTTGACAAAAAAAAAAAAAAAAAAAAAAAAAAAAATAATTAAAAAAAATTCTGGGAAAAAGTTTTGAAGACAGTAAAAGAAAGTACTCTCTCATTCTGATCTCTCAAAAAGTACATAATCAAAAAATTTCAAAGTCTGACTTATTCACAAGGTGTCTGGATCATTTACTCTGAAGGGGGAATCATAATCACTACTGTGATTTGAAGTATGAAAAAATTCTTACCTACCTATGTCAGTTAATGCAAAGGTACAGGCCCTGGAGGGAAGGATTTCATTGATCACAGGACAACAGAGAAGAACAATAAGAAGAATATGAGATGTCTTCTGAGAATACTTACTAGTGTTTAGCTGAAAATTAATAGGTTAAGAGTGAAAAAAAAATCAATGTCCAGTGATCAGTAATTTTAAAGATAAGCTAGTTTTCTTTCTGGCAGTACTGACCTTCCCATGATTCTAGCTTCCAAACAGTAGAAAAGGATAAAAAGATTAATAAAAATGGAGAAAGTGGAAACTTTTGGCTTTGTGCCTCCAGGAATGGAACCTAAACTGCAGAATCTACTTGCTCTGTGCACAGGGCCCACACTCATGGAGCCGGGGGAGGCTTCTCCACTGGGCATCCACTGGTTGGGGCCAGTGTCTCGCTGGCTGAGCCCTGAGTGCAAGTCTCCTGAGAAACCAGGGCCTACTGGGCCATCTTGCGGATCATGTAGTTTAGGATGCCCCCGTTGTGGAAATAAGTGAGCTCCACGTCGGTGTCGAACCTCATGACAACTTGGAAGGTCTTCCCAGTGTCCAGCTACAATGACAAAGAACAGAGAAGGGCTGAGGAGATGGAGAGACACCCCTGGCTCAGGGAGATTCCACCTGGCCTGCCCTCTAGCCTGCAATTCAAAGTGTGGTCTATGCACATGCTGCGTATGGGAACAGGTGGTCTCTGGCCCCTGCCTAGACCCACTGAGTCAGTATCTGCATTTCCCTAAGAACCCTGGGAGGTTTATCTGCCCATTAAAGTCTGAGAGGCCCTGGAGAGTATAAATGATGAAGGTGAGAGGTTCCTGAGAAGTAGAAATAGCTTCTCTGGGCAGCAGCTACTAGTGACATTGGGATGACATTTTTCTGATATCTTCTCTGGGGGCTTCCTGTAGATAGAAGTGTCTTGGGGCAGCAGAAGTTTCACTGAGGTTGTCCTTTAGGCAAGTGACCCAGCTGCTCACCCTGAGACACAAACCTTAGCAGATGCCTCTGCAGGATGCTGGGACCTTGGTGCTGGGCCTTTCGTTCTTCCCTTACCTAGGGTGTGTCACTGTCACCCTTGGACTAACTGAAGTATGGGGCCTTAAGTGAGGCTCAGGGAGGGGGTGAATGTATATATTGATAACATTTTCAGAATATAGGTTTTTTTAGATAATGTGAAAACGTCCTATCTCTGAACTTTCATTGGTATTCTTTGGCTGAATGGAATTGAGAGAACGATGAGTGGGGATGTTTGGGGATAGAAGCTAACATTGGACTTGATAACCACTTTATGGATAAACAGAGAAATAAATGATATATCATCAGGCATCATTCTCACTATGTTGTGAAGGTAGGTGGAAAAGATACTAGTAGGACTTCAAGTCTAATGCTGTCCTACTGAGTGATGTTTTCCCTCTCAAAATCTCATTAATTTCCTTGTTAACAAGATTGATTACAAAGGACCCTTTAGAGCAGGTCCTGGCATGGAAAAGCTTCCGCTTACCTTGACTTGGACTTTCATGCGTGGTTTGAGTTTTTCTGGAATGCTGATAGTGTATCGTTCCTGCCCTGTGAGACCCAGGGAGTCTGCATTCTCACCAGGCAGATACTCAAGAGGGATCACTCCCATTCCAACCAGATTACTGCGGTGAATTCGTTCATAGCTCTCAGCCAGAACAGCTTTGATTCCCTGGTAAGCCAAGAGAGTAGTTTGGATACAGTTCCAATATGTTCTTTAGGTACATAGAAACTTTACAAAAGACTTAAGTCACAATGTTCTCATAGTTAAAGTCTTTCTTGAGTACCCAAAATGTTGTTCTCCAGTTATAAATAACACAGTAGTGGATCCTAACTGATTGCCTACAGTGTAAGCACTACATGAGGACTGGAATGAATTCTTTCCTTTCACCCTCCACTGACCTTGGGTCATAGCAGACGCTATATCTCCCTTCACCCAGGTAGTCAGTGGTAGGATCTTGTATTCGAACCCATGCAGACTGACCACACGCTTAGCCACCCCAAGATATAAAATCCCTTAGTAGACTTCCATTGTAGATGGAATCTATACCACAAAACAACAGAGAGAAAATCAGTTTCTTTCCCTTGAAATTTTCTATTATTGTAGGTGCATCAGCAGAACACAGAAAGTTTAATCAAAAAGCAACTTTCAGAATATACTACAGACAAAGTAAATTATTACTGTGCACTGCTTTTATATTTACTGTTTTCAGGATCAAAATACATTACAGTTTTGATACTAAGCTTCTTAGAAAGGACATTTTATTGGTACTGTATAATTGGAAATATGCAGAAGTAATAAAGTAGGGTATCTGATCAATCAGACTCCCCTATTAGTTTATTATTACTAGTCAATACTTTTGTAGAAAAAGTCCTGACTCTAGAGGCCCCTTTGGTGCCAGTTCTTTTCTTATCCTCTGTAAGATCCCCACCTGACTGCTCACTGCCCAGGTCTCATTTCCCATACCAACTCCCAATGCCCTTCCCAAGATCCTTTTCTTTTGTTGAAATTTCTCCAACTCTTTTTAGCAGTTCTTAGAAAAGGCAGGCCTTTGACCTATTATTAGCTAATCAGAGAAGAAATTCCCTCCTCAGAGCAAAATGACTAAGAAAGTAAAAGGTGTGACATTCAATGACATTCACAGATGCCCAGATGCCTGGGAAGTTAACTGCCAGACAGCCATATTTTTTACTGTACTATGCATATAATGTGGTGTTTCCCAAGTGTATCAATTTGCTTGAGCTATAAATGATTTAAATTAACATCAGCTAAGCTATTTTTTACTCTACTTCTAGGGTTAAAGCTGGCAGTAAAATTCTTCCCTGCTTTCACAGCAAGCAAACACTGAAGAGGTAAATATTCCCTGCTTCCTGTATATCCCTGCCTATGAGACACCTCAGGCAGGTGAACCAGCTGAAGTCTCTGGAGAGCTGCCTGGCTGTGTATATGGGAGCTTCTCTTTCTCACTGAGAGATGATAAGCAGATTTTCACAGGCAGTGGAAAGCAACTGTAAAAAGCATATACTCCTTGTTTCCCCAAGAGACCTGGAGTCTATTCTGTAACTCTTGAAGAAGCCGTGGCTTCTCATGGTTGCCTTCTATGATCCTGACAGACAATACAGAAGTTTCAGTCATTCCTTACTGTGCATTGCTTTTATACTTTCTGTTTCAAGGATCAAACTGCATTGAATGTACTCTTTATATTAAACTTCATATAAAGCACACCTAGGACAATGTTCTTAAATAAGTTTTGGGTCCCCAACCTCTGAGAATGTTATGAAAACTATGAAGGTTCTCCCTATTAAAAAAAAATCTGTATATATAGTTTTAGATATGTCAGAGACTCTACAACTCTTCCTCCAAAGCTGATCTATAGACACCTCCAAAGTTTCTGGTTGTCAGGGTATAGTGCTTGATCTAAGGGAACTGGCTCAACTTTAGGTCATTCCCCTTCACTGAGTGAAATAAATCTAGATCCACCAAGAAGCAAGAGATGAATAAACATTACATGCTGTTCTGAGTTTGCGCTTTCATGACATCTTGGAAAGCCAATTAACAAAGTTTATTCCTGGGCACCTTCCCAGTTTCCCTTTCAGTTCAGAGGTGCAAGGCCTGCTGGGAAGTCTTTATTTCATACTCACCAGCAGGAAAGGGCCCTTGGCTGCCCAGTCTCGAGAGCTGCCTGAGCCATACTCCTTGCCCGCCAGAACAATCAGGGGAAGGCCTGCCTGCTGGTACCGCTCAGCAGCATCAAACACATCAAGCTGAGGAAGAAAAGGAAGATTTTAGAGATGCAGGAGGGGCAAAGAACAAGGACACAGGCCCAGTGAACCCTCTTGAGGTGATAGGTCAGAAGGGTCTGCAGACAACCCAGTCAACACTCAACCCATCAGACTTGTGGCCTACAAGTCCTCAATTACTCCACCTATTTATTTCTGCTAAATTGAATTTTATCTTCTTTTGGCTGAAATGCCTAATTCTTGTCCTGTTTTATAAGAACATTTAAATCTTAGGGCAGGGGAAAAAAGGAAACTAAATTAGATTTGTTTCTTCTCTCCCATTGAACTGTTTTAGAAGTCACAAATACTTGACTAAATATCAGAGTCAGTGATGGTCAATTATGAAGGGGAGCAAAAACATAAGGCAGAATGTTCTGAAATCAAACAATATGCAAAATTTGCTTCCTTTCTACATCAAGGTCCAGGGTAGAGGTATTGGAAGCATAAATCAATAAAGATCAGGAAAAGATTAGCTAATATGTTAACACGTGAGAAACATCTTCCACAAGCAGGTTTCTTTCTTTCTCTGAATAGGAATCTGAATATTGTGCTGAGCTGAGGCTTCATCAAGATATCTGATATGATTACTGGTGACTGAGTAATGAAACAACTGTTTTTCCTGGATAAGAAAGTAAGAAAATAAAATTCCTTAAAAGAGCTGTATTGAGCACCCAGTGGCAGAGCACTTGCCTAGCAGGCGTAGGCCAGGGTTTGATCCTCAGTAGGGAAAAAGAGGGAGAGAGGAAAGATTTTCAATTGAAAGGAGCTGAAGATAAGCAATTACTCAAACTTTGAAGTAGGCTTTGCACATTTACCATTTTAAGGGACTGACAGAGCTGTGGTTAATTTCACATGTAAATCTGGGAGGATTCTATGTCTTCAGTTATACAGAACTCAGAAATTTAGAAAAATAGTAACTACCTTCTTCTGCCCAAATAGTCTAGATCCTTTCATAATCTACCTTTACTTTCAGAGACTATTAGCTTTGCATATTAAAAATGCAGGAGACATGTGTTTTAAAAAGTGATTTCAGAATCACTGTAGAGTGGGTAACTCTGGTGAAGCAGGTCATGTTACCCAAAATCAGAGGGACTGAGCAGGCCTACAATTCGGGTGTCTTCTATTACATCAGCCATGCTGATAGCACTCAGTGGCTTATAAAGCGACAGCTCCCTGTACTGTCCCTCTCTTCTGCAGAAGAGAACACAGAAAACCTGCAATCTCTGGTTATTGTATCTCTAGGTATTATGTTTAAATGGCTAGTTCTCGTTTCTCCATTTCTGTTATCATCTAGCAATTCTGTACTCTGATGAGGGTTTAGTTCTCTTTGCCATTCCCTTTCCCCACCTCCCTTCTCTCTAACCTCCCACTATGGCTGTGCCATACATTTTGGCAAGCCAATATGTGGTTTCTGCATCATTGTGGCTATGTAAAATTCTGTTTACAGCATAGGCATGTAACATACCAAGATAGAACGAGTCATTTTCTGTTTTGGGTGTGCTCACCTGCAACTATGTCCCTATTCATTAACTAATACTTTCCTCAAAGTACAAATTTTCTTTAAAGATATTCAGCTGTATCAAGCAATGTATCATTTAAAAATCTTTGTCATGGCAGTTTCACTCCTGGAACCCTTGGTCCAGTTCCATTGGCTCAGTGCTGTTGCATTCCTGAGACAGAGGAAGCTTCTTTCACCAATATCCTGGGGATTCTGTGCCTTCATTCCCTTCTCCTGGATCCTACATCCTTCCCTTTCTTAGTTTACTTCTCTTTTTGGTGGAACACATTCACCAAGGAGCCCCCTGAGAGAAGGACTGCGGGATGATTTTTAAATATCTGAATATATTCAGACATTTGAATATCTGAAAGTGTCATTGCACTTGACTGGTGGTAGTCATTTTCCTTAGTCTAAGCTTCTTGGATGTCTTCAGGAAGTCTGAAGTCCTTCTGATGATGCCTCAACATTGTCCTTAATTTTACAATGATGTGACTTAGACAGCATCTTTGTAAGTCATCTTGCAGGTTATTCAGTGGGCCTTTTCAATCTGGATTTTCAGATACTTCAGCTGGGAAAGATTTTTCCTTCTGTTATTTAGTTGATAATTAAACTTTCCTCCCATTTATTTCTGTTGTATTTATACCTTTCTTTAATCACATGTTGAACCATTTGAGTTCAGCCCTTAATTTCTTACACTTTCATTTTTCCCTTTGTCATTCTGTTCTGTATTACGGAAGTTTTCTAAACTAAAGGAAATACACTTTCCTTTGAATTATTTGGGGAGAAGCTTCTTTAATTTAAAAAGGCTGTTACTTGATGGCAATGGGAAATTAACTCATCTCTCTGAAGAGATGATTCTTTTTCTGAAAGTTTTCCTCTACTGTTTTTGCAATGTTCTATTCCCTCCTTTCCTCAAACATTTTTCATCTAGGTCTGTCTTTCAAGTTCAAATCTTTGTTCAAACGTCTGCTTATTCCTGATCCTATCTCCTTATTTAAGGTGAGGCACTGAATATCTGACTAGAAGCTCTACATCACAGCAGGGCTTATAAAACTGTGAGGGTCACTTTGGCACAGTTTATTGGAGACCCCCAATGTCTGTAACTGTCTTTTACCTTGGTCTCTTGGGTATTCCATCATTCAGTGTGTCTTTTTATAGGATAGTTTACTATCCCTGTTATTCATCCTTTGAGTTAGGTCCAGAAGATGGGTGAGGACTCAAGTAACAGAGTTTGTTTTATAAAAATATAGTCACTTCTGAGTGAGACAGCATGTGGAGTTGCAAAGGAAATGAACAATGAACCAGAATCTTTGGGTTTAATCTCAGCTTGTCCAATGTGTGACCTGAGTGAGTTATCTCTATGCCACAATTTCTCAGTTTAAACACAGATACCTACTTCAAAAGGTTGTTATGAAGATGAGATAACATATGCAAAAAGCTTAGTGGCTGCATAGAAGCAAGTTCCACAGAAATATTAACTTCATCTGTTATGAAATAAATTGGCAGGGTTATTTCTCTAGTAGGTTAAATAGTTCTTAGGCAGTTGGAAGGGACAATAAGGACCCACCATATGTGGGTAGACTGATTTTCCAAGTCACTCTAATTTGTTTTAAGCCTTAGAGCCTTATACAGCAGGGTTAATGTCTACTATACTGATAAGAAAAATGAAGCTCAGAGGGAAGTAACTTGCCCAAACCTCTAGAGCTAGTATGAGGTGGGGCTAGGACTTAAACCCAGACTTGCGTGGCACAATCTGCAGACTTCCCTACCTCTCACACACCCCAAATCTGTGAATAAATATCCTGGCTATGTATATATACCAGCTCCATGTGGCTTCCTTAAGGACTCAAGCAGACTCAAAGGGCCTCCATGTTCCTTCTTTTCCTAATGTATATGGGGAAATAAATTAAATACTAGTAAGATCATTAGTAGTACTTCTTGATAAATATCCTCTAATTTAATTTGGAATTTCTCTTCCAAGACTTTAAACATCAAATTTAACTCGGAGACTTTTTATCTCAACTATCAAGAAAAGAGACTTAAACCACTCATGATATAGAATCTTTAAGCAAGAAGAGGTTTTAATATCTATTAGTGATAAACTTCACACATATAGGCAACTGGCTAGAGGAATGACAAGAAGCCAAGGGTAGGATGGAGCTGTGAAGAAAAAAAATAAAACCAAAAGGAAAGTCAATATGTAAACACCCAGTCTCCAGAAGCAGAAGAGGCAATACTCACGATTTCTCCAGAAGGAAGATGTATTGTTTGTGGTGCCTGCTTGTTTAAAAATTTATTTAACAAGCGAATGTTGGCAAATGTCCCCCGTGCCATGATGGCGTCATTACCTCGGCGGGAGCCATAGGAGTTGAATTCTCGTGGAGTTAGTCTAATAATACAAGCAGAAGAAGAGCCAGTTTAGTAGAGTGAACAAAGATTAAACTTAGCCTACACCAAGAAAAGAAACATGGCATGAATCTAGCTATTGCTCTGAATCTACTGAGCATTCTTCTCTAAGGCAGAAAAGCTATTCTCATACCTTCAACTAGGGTGGAGTGAAAAGTGGGGTAAAGGGCAGAACTCAATATTCATCAGGATTAACTTTCAAATCTGGACAGAGAAATCAGGAGGGATTCTAAAAAGAGTATTTATTTTATGTATTCAGCAGGGTAACCTATAAAGCTTCATATGAGGTAAAAAGACAGATTAAAAATAAGAAGATGGAAACAAGGGAATAATTAGGATATGATAGTCAGATGGAAGCCTAGAATGGGGGTCAACAAAATGTTGAAAAAATTTTAGGAACTACTTTTGCTTCTTTCTTGGGCTCCCAAGTTAACCAGAAGTGCACAAAAACTTGGCCTCCCTGCCTCCTTTGTACATCTCTTTGCTCTGAGAAGTCACCTTGCAGGACTGATGAATAACATCTTGTGTCACAAGTTGAAACTACCCCCAGCCAGCAATGACTCTTATCGTGACCACACCCTGCCTTACCAATCCTGAGATGATGATCAGCCTGAACACACTTTTGACCACCAGGCCACACCTGTGACCAGGACTGTTAAATATTATGAGACCTCTCACCCATTGCCCTAATTCTTACCCTATTTAAAACTAAAGCTCATGTCCGTTCTCCAAAGGTGGGCTAAAATGATTACTTTGCCTCTTCCCATGGCATGCCCGTGCTACGTAAGTCTCCTTTCCCTGTCCTTCACCACTACTCATCTCTGTACTTGAAGTATTGGGGCGAGTGGCTGACCTGACATGTTGGAACCCCTGGAGTTAGACCTCTGACCTAGAACTTGCTTCTAAATAAATTAACCAAAAGTAGGTTTGAATTTGTCCCTGAGTTATTAAGATCTCAAGGCAAAGGCAACATATTGGCAACATGATTTACAAATTTCATAAGATGAAAATCACAGCAGTACCAAAGTAGCAGAGCAATTATTTCTGGTCTCAAAACCAGAGGAAAATCTTTTTTTCCAATGAAAGGAAATTTTGTGATATCAAGAACAATATTATAATTTAACACAGTGACCAGCTCACTGGCATGTTTCTTAAAACATTAGTGGGTTGCTGTGAATATTAGTGTGATTTTATGGTCAAATCTAACTTGAGGATTAAAACAGTCTATGATTTGACTTCAGGACCAGACAAGCATGTGTAGGAACCCTTGAAATTCTACCCAGAATGTGAGGGTTCATGCAGTTTTGGGGGAGATGTTATATTTGTTTTCATTCAATTCCCTAAAAAGTTCATATGTGAAAGAGAATCACCACTTTCTGGGCTCCATCTCTGAAGGAGCTGATTTAGAAGGTCGGGACAGGAGCCAGGAATTTTTGTCTCCCCATGAGATACTCTTGGAAAGTCAGATTTTGGAACTGCTAACCTCATTATCAGTATAGTGGCTAATATTGATGTATTACTTATGAATATTGGCATGTCTGAGGGACTGATGAATGGATGGATGAACTTCAAATTCTGTTTACAGTTCTCTGTAAACAACCAGAACATGGCAATGCTTTTTACGTTGTATCATGCAGAGTCTCAAGCATGAGCAGCCTCCAACACAGCTGCTGGCAGGATGATACCTGAGCCTAATGTGTACACTTGCTCAAAAAGGTCACTCTCTGCTGCCCCGTGCTGGGATTCATGTGCTGATGGATTCTCCCATGGAGCTACTAAGCAACAAACAGAAAAATCAACCGGTATGTAAGCCCCAGGGTTCGGTGAAAAACCAGTCTGGTTCCAGAGAGAACTTGTGAAAAGAGAAACACTGGCCTCATTTGCTTCATTTACTCCACTCTTACCATTAGTTTTTCCTGCTTTGCTCATTCTTACCCTCTGTTAGTTAAGTAGCGAGCGGCAGGGCTATTTCTTGCAATATTTCCAGCTGGAGAGATGTGGTCAGTTGTTACTGAATCTCCCAGATTTAATAGCACATAGGCATCCACTATAGATTTGGGGGGCTGGAGGTCCAAAGTCTAGCAAAGAATACAACAAGTTAGCATTTGCCTGTTTTTCTCAAACACATCACCAGGTGAGCCTCAAGAGTAGTGGTCCATGAACCTGAACCAGGTGACAGCTCTACATCAGTGCATGGAAAATTCTAGTTTTCTGGTTTTTAGCAAAGATGTTTATAAACATAAGGTGAATTTACTCAAAACATTCATATCTCAGCCTTGAGGAGAAGGCAAAGTATTGGCACCATCCCCTCAAAAGCAACAGCTGCAAATGACAGTCTTTCTTCATCTTCCCAGAACTCCTCAGATGAGGACACATTCTCCTTTCCCCTTCCACAGTGAACCATCAGGGAAATGTAAGACTTAAAAATGGCAAGCCCTGAGAATGTCCTAGAATAGCCTGTCACCTTTGACTGACCCATGTCTAGGTGGTAGTTGCTGCAGGGGGCCTGCACAGTCACAATGAACCCCTGGACAGAGAAACAGTTCCTACAGACAGACACAACACTCCAGTCTCCTAAAAGACTCAACAGGTTTCAATAAAATGGGTAGTCCAAGCAAGGAAATGGGGTAGTAAAGTGGACTTTATAAGGAAAAAACCTTTTAAATAACTCATTTTGTTAAAAAATAAAAACTCATACCAGAGTTTCAAAGAAAGGTGGTGATTTAATATATGTAGATTTGGGATTCCAGATATATAGTTTATCTGATGAGGCTGCTAAGGCATTCCAGCTTTCATTAACAGTCTTAAAAGAAAGAAAGAAAAAAGATATAATCACATTCCATTCCAGGGAAAAATTAAACATGCAAACACAAAACATTCAAGCTAAGAGGTACAATAAAAACGTTTTTTTTTTCTAAATAGCCATACAAGAGTCCCTCTATACTAAGATAATGTCTTACTAATTTAAAGAAGCATAAGCTCTGGTAAAATGTCAGGAAGATCCCACCTTCTGGAATTCATAGCTGTAGGTGACTCCTTCCTGTTAGTAACTTATCTCCAGGAAAGACAGAGTTACAAAGAGACTCTGTCTTCTGACTCTTGCTCTCTTGCTTGCTCTGATGGAAAATCAACTACCACGCTGTGGGCTGTGAAGGAGGGTAGCTTCTAGTTAAGAGTCAGTAATGGAACTGAAGACTTCAGCCCATCCATCAAATGGGCCTAACCAGATTCTTCTCCAGAAAGCACAGCCCCCAGGAAATCTTGTAGGATCCTTGTGAAGTCAGAGGCACCCAGTGAAGCTGCACCTGAGTTCTGACCCACAGATGCTGAGATGATATGTTCTTTTGTTTTGACTAAGTTTTGAAATAATTTGTTACATAGAAATAATGAATACACTTATTTATAAATAACTAATGATACAATAATCTAGAATGTACCAAAGGGAAAATTACTTACTCTGAATATTTTGGAAAGTGGACTGCCAGGTCACATGGATACTGAACAGCAAATGACAGCTGCTATGCATTAAAACTGACCTGAAGCCTCTTCACAGGTCTATTCACTTGGCTTTGGAGAAATACCTTCAACACTATGGCTGCTAAGTCTTTAATACTATTTCCCAATGAGCTCCTTGTGGGAGGCACAGTGCCTGAATTCCATGCCCATTTCCCACTTCCTCAGAAAATCCTGCTCTCATTTCATTTCTTTGGCCCTTGGCAGCTTAACAGGGAAAAGCAGGGAAAGGAATAACATCCAAGAGTCTCAGAAGATGATACTGAGCCCCACTCATTTTCTTCTATTTTAAAATGCACAGAAAGTTTTCCTTATTTCAGCAGTTGGGCACTTCCTGCTGAGTATTTTTTTTTTTTTAAGCAACCAAATAATGCACTGAACAGTACATTTGACTAGTTCAGTTGATTCCACCTCATCGACACAATACAGTGATCATTATGGTCCTCTCCACAGGTGACACTTAAGGTGTCTGAGAATGGAATGGAACTCTGTAGGGCTGGACCTGAGGCCTTTCTTCTCGAGGCCATCTGTCATTTGTGTGTCCTAATCTGGGAGCACCTGGGGAGTGTGGGGTTTGCAAAGGTGGGAAGTCACTGGAGAAAAATGACGGAGAACTACTTTCCTACTTAAACAAAAATATAAATGTTACTTTCTACAGTTTATACTGCCATTAGCCTCAAAGTCTGCAGATATGACACAAAGAAGGGCTTTCTCTAGATTCCTGAGGATGGGAGGGAGCAAGGGCCTCACCTCTATTTTCTGATAGACCTCCTTAAACATGCCAGGGATGACATACTGTCGCTCCACAGCCTGGATCTCATCTCGACTTGGCCAGATATCTTTCAGAAATACTTGCTGTCCCTTTGCATTTATCCCTAGGGAAAACATATTATTGAGAAAAATGTTGTCTTTTACTCCATTTTCATTCTTAGATACAGTCAGGTCTCTTTTCTCAGTACTTACGTTCTGTGAAGTTAGTGCCAATACTGAACTGGTAAATTCTAAGCCCCTGTCCCTAGGAGAAGCACAGGTTAGGTCCCTCAGAGCTTCTGGCCACATTTTCATCAACTGATCAATACATAACCTTGTTTTATATGTTCTTTTGTTTAAAGACATCTTATTTAAAATAAGGTTGGTCTTCCATATCCATGGGTTTTACATCTGGTAATTGAACTGTAGATTGAAAATATTTAGAAAAAAACTTGTGCTGAACAAGTACAGGTATTTTTCTTGTCATTATCCCCTAAATAATTCAATATTTATATGGCTATTTTTATAGCATTTGTATTGTATCCATTATTATATGTCATCTATAGATGACGTGGGTAGGTTTTATGCAAATACTATGCCACTTTATAAAAGGCACTTGAGCATCTGCTCATTTTGACATCCTGGGAGGGTCCTGAAGCCAATCCCTCCGAACAACTGGTGGACTATGTCCATTACTGACTCATCAACAGTAGACTTAGTCTACAGCACGAAAGTTCATGCGTGAATGAAGCCTATCTAAACACCACAGTCTTGCTTAGAACACCAGACGGCACTTTAGAATATGCTCAAGGGCCATTTTAAACAGCAAAATCACCACAAAAGCACAAAAATGTGGGGGATAAAAGGTATTAAGTAGACTGAAAAGGAAACTTGTTTATAGTGCTAGAGTTGAAACAAGATGGCTGAGTGTAGCCTTATTTGACCTCAGTGTAGTGTGTTGAGTTGGATCAGTTTTCATGTCTTGTGTATCTGTCAATGGCCATAAAAACACCAGAAATACTGATTTGAGGGTTGAAATATATTTTAGTGAATTAGCAAAGTTACAAATATAGACTCAACTGTACTTCTAAAGTTATGATTTCCTAAAGGTAACTCAAAGAAAGAGGTATTGTGTCCATATTATCTAATCTGCTTAGAATGGATTGAGGGAGGTATAGCAAGGAAGCTGCCAGGAAAGGAGAAAAAGCATCACTTCTCCTGAATTTTAAGAAGCTAAACTATCTGCAATGTTCCTACAAAGTATTTATTAAAACAAAGGCTATCAATAGAGTCCAGCAGGAGTGGAAAAGGGAGGATCTTTAGAAGAAACCAGAACAGCAAATCTCTACTATTTTTGGCATTTATTTCCCTTTTGCCACCTCTAACCCTCAGCAGAGTCTTACTGACTTCAGTTATTGGAGAATACTGCAAATATTTCCCCGTCTTTATCTCTGGAGGTTCTCTGTTTCATTTTTATTAATGAAAGCAGCAATTTATTTCAACTAATAGTTTTTAATTCACTGGAAAAAAATCACAGCCACAAAACCAAAATCTTACCCAATGGCTCTTTCTCAAAGTCGATCCTGACAGTCCCAGCAATTGCATATGCTATTACTAAGGGAGGCGATGCTAAATAGTTGGCCCGGGTATTAGGGTGGACCCGACCTTCAAAATTCCTGTTCCCAGACAGCACTCCAACAGCTACGAGGTCTCCCTGTGGAACGCAAGAGAAAAATGTGGTCATGAAGAAAAGAGGTTGCCTGTACTTCTCTTCTCAGACCATCAGCAACAGTTTTCAGCTGCCCATTCACCTGTTATGTCTCCTGCTATGGGGACAAGGGTAGACAATAGTGTCCCTGTGAGAGATATTTTGTATCAAAAACAGCAAAGGTATGTTCAGTGATTTCTGCTCATAAGAAAATACTAGGTACATTAGAACATAATGTCCGAGCTATTACTACCTGGTAAACAGGTGGGAAAGACCAAAGCTGACAGATGAAGGAAGCCACAGTGACTTACACAGTAAGTGTAATACTTCAATAGTATTTTTCAAGGCTACAGAATTTTTGAGACAAAAATCAAGCCAGGATAATTTAGTTTAGACTCATTTACATGGAGACTTGTTTTATTTTGGACTAATTTTCAAATGACCATAAATGAACAATTCTGGAGCCCTAATAGTCAAAACCAGCAGGCATTAAGCACTTTCTCGAGTGCCAGGCACTGCAATGTTTTATCATCATGATTTTCCTAACTCTATAAAATAGATACTATTATCATTTCCAATTTATAGTTGTGGAAATGAGGCACAAACAAGCTAATTAACTTGTCCAAGGTTATATTGCTTATAATTTTAGTTCTAAAGACCATATACTTAATCACATCCCCTGTTTCCATGGGCTGTCTTGAAATTACCAGCATTATTGTCACATATCATCTGAAAAGAAACAATGGCTCGGAAACATGCAGGCTCCTCCGTAATTACCTGAGTGATGGCTTCTACCATGGGTTCAGGCAAAGGCCCACTGTTGCCGATGCACGTCATGCAACCATAGCCTACCACATCAAACCTAGGCACAAGAGAGAGAATCCTGACACCTGAGTCACAAAGCTACTTTATGCGTGAGTTAAGTTCGGGACAGTGCTGTTTCTGTCAAGCTTTCCTTCCTGAGAGAGTTTCCATATAGCATACCTAAGAATACTATTCATATTTTACTTATAAGAAGTAGTCATCAAATAATCTAGAAAGTTAAAAGGTTGAAATCATATATGCCATTTAATGTCTCCCTACACTGCTATTATTATATTATCCCAAGGACTTTTGAATTTTATGAGGCACATGGAGAAAACAGGTGTCAAACTAAGAATAATATAGGAACTAGAGAAACTGTGTTTGACAACCAGTAATTAATTTGCCTCAAGGAATTAGAATGCTTTTAGCCAAAGTAAATAATTATTTTCATACAGTGACAGAGCCATTGCCAGCCCATGGCATACCTCAGGACAAATAAGGTACCTCCTGCAGTGGGAACAGACAACCTAGAAGCACAATGCTCGGTAAGCAGAGCATAGGCTCTGTCCTTAGAAGGCACCACTGTATGGTGAACAACCAACACAACTATACAACAGGACCCTATTCAGTTGGAATGTTAGGATTCAAGTCCACCTACCATCTGATAAAAGGCTATGCAATTAGACAGCATCAGATAAGCTCTCAGCTATTACATGGTGACACAGCAATTTAGAAGAGGAAAAAAATACAACAAAAGCAAGAGCATAAGAGGAAACTCTCTCTCACCCAAGTTGAGAGAGATAAGGCATGACTCCGCTCTCTCGCAGATAATAGGTGACCACACCACTTCCAGGAGACAAGCTGGTTTTGATGTAAGGCTTCACATTCAGGCCAGCATCCACGGCTTTCTTTGCTAACAATCCTGTGAAACGGTGAACACAGACACAGTGAGTGACCACCTACACTAGGTGCCAAGAACACTTCAAAAAGCATCTGATCTTTCAGTCTCATTTCCTGCTCAACAGAAATCAAAAGTCCACTGCCCAGAGACACTTACGCTCAAAATCAGTCGTGCAAATGAAGAGATGTGCTTACTTTTCTTTTTTTAAGAGATAAACCTTGAACCACTTAAAAACGAGTTTTTCGTTTTGTAGGGAAAGTATCTTTCTAATTATGTTTGATTTGGATAGAAATTACAACTAAAGGGCTTTTTCTGAAAATATATGAATTGTGTACTGGTTGATGAGGAACACAGTCAGCCTACAAAAAAAAACCCATCTAGACTACAGGTATTTCTCAAGTAGAAGATCAAAGGTTCCTGGACCTTTGGGCAGGGCAAATACAGACTGTTACCGCAGCACTGGGTGCTCTGACTCAGGAAGTGTCACAGAAACAGGAAAGAAATGAGGTGTGGGGGTGAGGATGTAAAGGGACAAGGACTATAGGCAAACTTGGTATGAATCCTAAGAAGTCTAGTTTGCTCCAAACAAGGAAAGCTTAGGTAGCAACGTAAGGACTCTTCAAAAAGAAGATTCTGTTTATGCTCATGAAGAAAGAACTGTTGACACTGGCCTGTGGACACAGAGAAAACTTGGGGATGATTACACAGCTGGAAACTAAAGAGATCTTATGTTAGTGACCCCAGCACGTAAATATTAACTGCTTCATCAGAACTGCATAACAGGTCAGGTGCACTGAGCTTTATTAACAGTGCCCTGTGCCCTGATTCAGATGCAACTGCCAATGCATCAAGATGTTATGAAACTTCCCTGGTCAGTGGAGTTACAGAGAACAAAGTCTATGACATGACAACAGGTATTTTTTTCCTTCTGAGGTCTGATGTGGATTCTGGGCATTAGCAGAAATTCAGTCTTCCTTTGGGCTAATTCTAAAGAAAAAGACTCTGATGCATCATAATTCCTACTTTAAATGCTTTGGATTCTATTTGTTATGTAGATATATCTGAGTAGATATCTCTTCATCCAGAAAGACAGGTTCAGGGAACTATATGTACAATGCAGTTACAACCTTGGGTCATATCTGGAGAGACTTCCACCTGCTCATTCACGGGGTGGACTTAAATGCACTTACCTGCCCCTAACATCACAGAGGGGTTGCTGGTGTTTGTGCAGCTAGTAATGGCAGCAATTACCACAGAACCATGAGCAAGGGTGAATTCACTGTTATTGTAGATAAACGTCTTATGGTCATTATGATGGTCTGGAGCAACTTGGAATCCTTTAAATCCTTGCTATAGGAAGAAAAAAATCATATAGATTATATACAGGAAGAAAAATATAAAAAATATCTATTTTGCTTTAGGAAGAAAAAAATGAAGGAGAATGAATACTTTGGTAACTGTAATATTAAAGATCGATTATTTACAACACACAAATATCTCTGCCTCTAAGCTTCAAAATGGCACAGAAAAATTCTCTTTATTCTTTTAAAATCTTTACAAAAGGCATCCATAATTTCTAACTCTTACTCTGCACTAAAATTAATAACAATACTTTCTTCCCTCCTCAAAAATGTGAATGCTAAAACTATGAATGCTGTCCATGAACACAATTCATTACAGATCTTTCTAGTTTTGGAGATAGGGTGTCACTATGTAGCCCTGGTTGACACTGAACTCCTGATCCTCTTGCCTCAGCTTCCCAAGTGCTAGGATTACAGGCTATCGAACATCTTAATCATTTATTTGGGATATGGTCATTGAAAGTCTGTGTACAAGATCTGTGGGATGCCGAAATGATTCTGACACAAATGTTATGCTCCAAAGTACATTCCAATAAGGGAAAACATACATGAAAATAAAGTATCAACTGCATAAGTTAAAGAATATGGAATCACATCAAAAGTTTTTAGACCAAGTGCCATGAAGTTTCAAGTGAGAAAGATTCATTATCGAGTGGGGTAAAAGCCTGGAACTAAGAAATCGGACACAGGGCAGAGTCCAGAGGCCCTACCTTGGCTCCAAGGCAGCTCTCAAAGTCCTTTTTCATGTCAGACACAGCGACTTTGTCCTGAGGCCTTTTGGGTCCACTGCAGCAAGGTACTACTGTTTTCAAGTCTAACTCCACAACCTATTTACTCAACCAAAAGGAGTTACAGAATTCACCTTATATCCATAAAGAAGAAGCACAAGTCATGGTGACACATCATAATGAAAATAAGCAAGTAAACAAAACCAACACACCCCAAAACAAAGAAGCCAAGGTTCATCTTAAAACATTTGTAAGGGACTGATTTCCCAAGAGCAAGATGGGCATTTAAGTAGCATGGGCCAGGAAGGACGCCTGCTGCCTCTCAGGAGTGCAGAGTGGACACTATAGTAACTGCCAGTGTCTTCCACTTACCTGCTCCATAAAGCAGCTCATACAGGGTTTTTATTGCCAAAGTATCTTGTTGTTTACTATTTCCTTATCCTTTCAATTTTTCAGCCTTTTACCGCACTGGTCCCCTACGATGACTTTGCAGTGACTGGTTTCTTACAAGTACACTCGCCCACCCCAAGGAAAAACACAGACCACTAAAATTGCAGTGTTGGGAATGTAGAAACATGTTTGGTGGGTGGTGCTCTCACATCTCCTACCTGCGCGAAGTCTGGGTCTTGTGAGGTGTCGCTGAAATCACGAAACATTCCTACAGCTTCAAGATACTTTTTAATGTGCTTTACTTTGGTTTCATCACGACCTAAATGACATCAGTAGTAACAAGTAATACCTATTAATACTTCCTGGTTAAAGCCATGAAATTAACACCTCCATTACCAGTATGTAAGTGATATGTATTCCATGTACACACTCCGACCCTCTGATTGCTGTTGCTTTTTATTAGGAGTCATTAACTGATCTGTCATTCCTATCAAACAGATAATTTTCTAGAAAAGATTCTGGTTTTTCCTATAGATACTCATCCTCTTTTTGGTTACAAACCTTAATCAGGAGGATTCTAAGCCTGAGCTAACTGCAATAGTTAATTGTACCTGTGATCTGCCTTCAACTGACCATAAAGACTACTGGTATGCTACATTACTACTGTTAAAATCATTATCCATCTCATCTCCAGCCCAAACCTCCAGCTAGTAAAAGAATTACTTCACACTCTAATCTTTTATAATGACCTTCTGAGAAAAGTACTATTGCTATTTTCATATACAGATAAAGAAACTCAAATCTATGGAACACAGCAAGTGTACGGCAGAACCAGGATCCAAACCCAAGTTTAGCTCCGAAGTCTTTGGACTTAACTCCCAGTGCTGTATCACCAGGAATATGACCCTGAGCCCTCTGCTACTTGTTTCATATCAAGATCCTGGTATAGAAGATAACACCCATAAAGTATGCCGTGGACATGCAGTTCATCGATTCTCAGTTAAACAGAAACTGAAAGCTGGGTCCACCCTAGGTCACAATGTTCTTCTGCCTGTTTCAACCGTGCTGTCAAGGCCATGGGTCTGTCAATATGGACCTCATAAGAGACAGCATAAGGGGCTTCTTTAACGTATTTAGCATGGCCTGGTGTCAAGCCCACTGTTCATTAGATCCCATGGCACCTCCCCTTCAAAACAATGAGCAGGAGAGATTTCTTTCTCCTAGGGCTGGGTAAGAGAAAGGGTTTCACTCTTTCAAAGCAGCATAGTCACTTCAATTTGATAGATGGACCACTATGAACTGTGGTGGTACCTCCAGCACCACAGAAAAAAACCTGACCTCTTTTCTCCTGTGCCTTCCCTTCTCTTCTTAAGGCTGACACCCTCAACTATTTATTCTCTTCTTTCATCTATCTTGTTCACCGCTGT